TCCCCCCCCCCCCCAGGCCTGACGCCTCTGGCCCAGGCTTCAGGCCTGGGCAGGGAACCCCCATCTCCCCCTGATCACCGGTTCTGCCCCCTGCCCAGGCCTGACACCTCTGGACCAGGCATCAGGCCTGGGCAGGGGACCCCCCAGACCCCTCCTATTGCCAGCTCCACCCCCCACCCAGGCTGACCCTCTGGCCCAGGCTTCAGGCCTGGGCAGGGGACCCCCATATCCCCCCAATCACCAGCTCTGCTCCCCACCCAGGCCTGATGCCTCGGCCAGAGGCGTCGACCTCCATCACCCTCCGATCGCTGGATCAGCCCCTTGCCCAGGCCTGACTCCTCCACCAGATGTGTCTGGCCTGGGCAGGGGACCCCCATCTTCCCCTGATCACTGGCTCCGCCCCCTGCCCAGGCCTGACGCCTCTGCCAGAGGTGTCAGGCCTGGGCAGGGGACCCCCATCTCCCCCCGATCACCGGCTTCTGGGCGGCTTCTGGGGCTTCTGGGGCTGGCCTGCAGCCCGGGATGGCAGCTCGTACTGGCGGCTGCGCTATCCTGCCCTGCCTGTGGTATGCAAATTAGCAGCCATCTTTGTTGGTGGTTAATTTGCATATCATGCTGATTGGCCTATGGGAGGTGTAGCGAAGGTACGGTCAATTACCATGTTTGTCTATTATTAGATAGGATTGTTTCTTACAGTCTGGGTCTTGCTCTGAATTCTTTCCGGGCCAGACCCTGAATGCTGAGGCTGCTGAACCCAGTCTGGTCTGACCCCACTGGTCAGACACCTGGGGCGGTTCCCACAGCCCACAACACAAGGAGGGCAAGTCCATTACCAGCAGGGTTTTCATGCGGGTAAAGGTGAAGGAAGACCTTCTGGACCTTTGTGCTGAAATTTGTATAACAAGGGAGTTTGTTAGCAAACACAGGGTCTCTCTCTACACCTTCACTTTGCTTCTTCAACTCCTATGGGCTCATTTGCCTTCTATTTCTTCCTGCTGTTCTTGGAGCAGAGACCTCCTTGACCTGTCTTGTCCTTTCCAGTCTAGGCCGCAGCCCCAGGCCACTGGCAGCGGGTGGATCTCTCTTACATCACGTGTGGACAGCACAAGGCAGTCAGGATGTCACTGATGGAACAGGCACATTGTGGTCAGACACACCCAGCCGCAGAAAGGGGCCTTGCTCCATGACCCACCATTGCTTCACGTGTCACCGAGTGGCTTCCTCTGCCCTCCACCTGCAGGCCTTTCTTTCCCATGGTTACCAGGGGCCTGAGGGGAGGTGTGGTCCCATTCAAATTGTCTCACACCCAACTTCACGACAGCAAAGAAGCCGTTAGTCACAGACGTGCAGACCTTGCGGACCAAGCACCTGCCGAGGTGTTTCCCCAGGTAGACAACGAGGTGGGCAAGGCCCGGGGCTCTTCCTCCCATTGGCCAGACCACTCTGACCACATCCTGTAAGGTCTGTGCGTGGTCCGCGCTCCCCACAGGACCCCCTAAGTCAGCCTCTGGTCCCAGACACCGGTAAAGGCAACTAGAAACTTCCGCATGCTCTCGGTCCAAGGAGTTACATTACATAGTCTGTGCATTGGCCTTTTCATCTACCATCTTGTTCATGCCAAGGCCACTGGTGCATCTTTTACCTTAAGCCAGTCTGGGATTATTCCAAAGAATATCGGGATTCTGGGACCACCCCCGTGGCCAGCGTCTGTGTTTAAGGACCGCGTGGACTTGGCCAGGGTGACTCTCCCATGGGCATTTGTTGCTTCGCTGGGAAGGTGGGCTGAGAACCAGCAATGCGCTTTCTGCGGGAGCCAGTGTGGGCAGATTCTGGCCCTCTTGCTTCCTGCTCCGGCCCTGCTGCTGCAGCTGCCCTCACAGCTCGGTGGTGGTGGTGGTGGTGGGGGGTTATTACTGTGAGAGGCACCGGTGCTGCCCACTGTTCGTACAGCCTGGCCACGTCTGCTCCTTCCGTCTGCTCCTTCTGACTGCTCCGTTGGGCTTTCTGGAGGTTTCAGTGCCGCGAGCGCCCCACGCCCTAAACGCGGGCTCCTCTGTTGATGAGGGCAGTATTTCCCGGTGTTTCCACATCGTCACACAAGCAGAAAAGGGGAGCAAACAGCTCTTTGAGGCGGTGGGGACTAGCCTACGGGTTCCAGCAGCCCGGGCTCTCCCAGCACCCGGGGCCTGAGGTCAGTATTGGGCACACGTGAAGCCTGCCCCTGGCACCCCTGTGTGGGTGGTGCAGCCCCAGATTCAAACAAATTAAACAAGAAAGCAGCTTATTTCTCTGAGACTGGACAGTGGCCCGGTGTTGGCGGCAGCTGGTCACTTTGCCGCTCTGGCTCTGCTCAGTCTCCCCAGCGTCGGCTCCTGTCCACGTGGTCCCGCTGGCTCACCTCCACCTGTGGACTCAGGAGGCCGAATTGGGGGGGGGCAGTCCCACATCACAGAGGTGTCCCCATCGCTACACTTAGGGAAGGAGCAGGGACCTGGGGAGGGCCGTCTTTGGGGAAATCGTTTAACTTCTATAAAACATGACACTATGGGAGGGTCCCTGGATAGTGGGAGGCGGGCAGTCGCTCCAGGGTCTGCCCTGCGATCGCCTCGTGTTGCCCGCTCATCGCTGCACCTGCAGGCCACTCCTCCTCCCCACGGTGCAAGGCGGACCAGTCAGCTCGTGCACTCGGCTCAGTGCAGGTTCCTGATGGCACAGACGCCTGAGACCCCAGAGCCCTGGGTGGGTCTTGTGACCTCGACAGACACAGATCACCCAGTTTCCCTGGCCCTGAAATGACCTGTGCACAGTCCTGGAGTTAGAACAGATGGTGTCACTAGAAAAACATGTTCAGGAAGAGGGAGACAGTCACAGTCATTCTGGGTTCCCCGTGGCCATCAGGTCGCAGCGTGGACGTGGCAGGCACGCCGACCTGGGCCATGGACCGGCTCGGACCACCGGCCTCTGCATTTCCCGGAAAGTTCTTCCTGCCCATCACCGTCACGACCACCCAAGGGGACAGAGGAGAGTCCCCCACTAGTGGCCGGCGGACCCCTGCCACCCTGTGGAGGGCACAGCATCAAGGGCGGGCCTCCCGGGCCCTGGCATCAGCTTGACGTGCCTGGGAAGCAGCCCCTGGAAACAACGGGTTCCTGGTACACTTGCCTCCAACAAACCCTCTGCGTGTGGCCCCACCACCAAAGGCCTCCTGTACTTCTATTGTGAAGCCTGGAGCCTGACTCTGTCTATTTACTACTCTCTCTGCTGAATCCTCCTTCCTAACTGAATAGAGGCCCTAGGGATCAAGATAACGGGTTTAGGTGAGAAAGACAATCCCTTAATACGATTCTGCCGCCAGCACGCTGCCCGTCTCCGGCTACGACGCTGAAACTGGACGGTGTGGAGCTACCCAAGGCACCAGTCACAGCCACATATCGCAGTTTAAGTTCATACAAAAGCCATTTTTGTGTTTTGTTTTGACTTTTCAGGCTCCTAGTTACAGCCACTCAGCCAGCTTGGAGCGGGCGCAGCAGTGAGAGCGGGTGGGGCTGACAGCCTCCCTCTCAGCTGGGCGGGGGCCGGAGCTCAGCTTCCTCGGGTGAGCAGCAGCACCACGCCCTGCCCACTGGTGCCCAGGCCTCACCACGTTGCCCCAAGCCGCGGTGCCGGTCGGCGTGGGCTGACCGCCAGGGCATGCTAAGCAGTTTTACCAATGGCCCTGGCACAGCCTCACAGCTTTCCAGCCAGGAATGTCTGCGCCCGGGGCCGGCTCCAGGTGCCGAAAGCACGGATCCCAACACGTGTGATGGGGAAACATCACTTTCCTGGGCCGGGTTTGTGGCCATGGGGATGTGGTCATGTTTATAACACAAACTCCAACCAGAAGCACGGCCTGAGGCGGGACTGTCTTTCTTTCCAAGGCTGGTCGGGGTGAGGCTGCCTCCCATCCCCATCCCCCTGGCTCCTCCTGGTCAGACAGGCCCCCAGCGCCGGGGCCGGTGCTGCCGCTCACCTGAGCTGATGCACACGTGCCCTGCCTGGCCACGAGGAGTGCGGGACACACGGCTCTCAGCTGGCACCCGGCCGCCCCAGGCAGACTTTGTGGAGAAAAACTTTTCAAGCAAAACACTGCATGCGACAAGCTGGACACCAAAGGACACACACCAGGTGATGCACTCCGTGTCGTTCAGAAACAAGCAAGCCAATCACGCGATGGTGTCACAGTGAACGTGGAGGCACCCTTGCCCGGGGTGACCCAGGGAGCAGAGGGAGGTTTCGGAACTTTCTAGAATAAAATAGTGTGCTAGTTTGTAAAATGCATCGCACTGTGGTCTTGTGACCTATTCTATGCCTATGTTATACTTTAATGAAAAGGAAATCGGGGCCTTTCTGCAGACGCGGGAGACCACAGACCAGAACCCCTTCAGTCTGTCATCAGAACGAGCGGCCGGACCTCCCAGCCAAGAAACCACGTGGGGCAGCGGAGCTCCGGGCGGAGCCTGCATCCGAAGGCGTCACATGCTTCAAATCGCACCTGATCCAGGACTAAGCTTCCCTGGATACACATGCACATAAGCCTGCAGCATGTTTCAAATTTGGTTCATGAAATGAGATTTCATTGACATTTTACACTGTGCTATTTTAAATTAGTGCAATTTGTCTTGGACTAACATGGAAAAATAAAATGGCTATTGTTTTAAAAAATGGTAGAAATATATTGTTGACAAGATATGAATTAAGTTTATTTTCTACAAACTGTTACTGATGAGGACATGGGTAATACCTTCCATGTTTCTGAAAAGTAATCTGTACATGGGGGGGAGGGGATAATAAATATTATTTCTAAATAAATAAATAAATAAATAAATAAATAAATAAAATAAAATAGTGCAATTTGAATTAAAATGCACAGCATTTAGAATCATCCAACTTTTTTTTTCTTTTTTTGAATATTAATACATTTATTAAATAACTAGAGGTCCGGTGCACGAATTCATGTACAGGTAGGGTTTGACCTGCCCACTCTGATTGGGGCCGATCAGACCGGGCTGGCTGTGGGGGAGGGAATGTGAGGTTGGTGGGCCAGCCCTGCCCCCAATCAGGGTGGGGTGGGGGGCTGATCAGGGACGGGGCTGGCTGGGGGAGGGGCCACAGGCTATTGGCTGGCCGGCCCTGCCCCATGGTTGAACTCCCGGTCAAACTCCTGGTTGAGGGGACAATTTGCATATTAGCCTTTTATTATATAGGATTTGAATGTAAT